ATAGTGTGGCATTAACTTGCATCCAGCATGACTATGCATAAGCAAATGAATCACTGAAGACTTGGCTTGGCCCTGAAGAAGTCCTTCAACTCCAAGCTTGAGGTGTGCTTTGCAAGAGTCTTAACTGCCACAGATCCTCAGTCTTCGACCAAGTTTCAAATGGAAAAATGCCAATAGTGATTTCCTATGGCTTTGGTGATCTCAAAGGAAGTCTGGATTTTTCTAGAAGCCATATACTGAACACTGTTCACAACCTGAATTCATTTACTCTGTGACCATACCAAGAAGCAAAGTGGCACTGTCCTGAATGGCATTCTAATTGTGCACTCTAGCAATTCCACTTTGGGAAAGACTCTCTTTTGCAATAACCTGAGTAATTAAGACCTTGCAAATGAATTCATCTGAGCAGCACTGAGTCACCCATACAGCAATTTGAACACGCCTCCAAAGTGTGTTTAATTTTACAGTTTACTGGCACAAAGAGTAATAGAGTTGTTGGTGTTAGCTCCTTGTGGGTTGGGTTCTGAAGACAAATGATGACAACGAAAGAACTGTGGAGGGGATGGGAAACTGGGGAGAATGTAGAACATTCCAGGAAGAGCAGTACAATTTCAAATAGTGTGTTTAATACTCTAGAACCTGTAGGAATAAGAACTCACCTGTGGCTGAAAATCAACTGGTTCCAGACCTCGGCATTCAAACTCCACTATTGTTTTGAATTTCTCACTGTCTTCAGCCTGTAATTGAGTCAGAATACTGTTAGTTTTTGTCTAATAGAGAGTGGCAAGCATTAGTCTAGAAATGAACTGCTTTAAAGGCAGTATTATCAACTGTGATGTCCCAAGTGACAGCAACCCCCTAGGGCTCATTTAGTAAGTGGCAATTAACTAAAATTTCTTAGTCTGCCACAAGGAAGCCTTCAGAAGGAAACTAACAGGGACACCGTATGATCACCTCTCATTTGAGTGATATAATTTTATGTTTTGCTTATGACAGATATCAAATTATTCTACACTTGAGCCTGTGTGCAGGAATCTACACAAGACAATTTTCTGTCAGGCAAAAACACCACCTTTTTGTGTTCCTGCAAGAGGAATGTGATGACAAAGAAAACCTCAAAATATTATTAATGCTTATTTATCTTGTTATGTAAAAGAGAAAACAAACTTACATTGTAAGGCTTGATTGTCTGACTTAAAATATCTAAAAAAAAATAATCAGAAGTGTAAAAGTGAGTGGCATTATGTCTTCAGCTTTATTCAGCACAAACCAAGCACCAGCTGCTTCTCGCAAACAAATTTCAGTAGACACAGTAGAAGAAACAGGGTAACCAAGCAGTTCCTGCAGTTGGCCCTCAAAAGGTGCAATTCAGTTTTTCTCACTTCTCCTGAGGAGCTGACATTACACCATTTGTAATGATTTAATGCAAAAAAAAAAAAAAATTAAAAAAAAGCATGCTTTTATAAAATGTCATTAGGGATAGGAGTTTTGTTCATGCAGAAACCTGAACGCACCAGGAGGCCGTGCTGTCTCCTTCATGTGCACAATGACAAGTATGTTCGTGTCATGAACTCAAGCACCAGTGTACACAGAAAAAAATCCCTGGTGAGTGCTCTTTACTAACAGCATCAAGCAAAATATGGGGACTAAAAAATAAACCTAGGAGAAAAAGCATAAAATGGATGATGCCTCTTAAATTCCTAAGCACATACCGATGGAGTTCTCCCTGGAGCACAGCTTGCATTTCTGCACCATAGTGGCACTTCCTCTGCCTCCTTTCAGGGGAGCACTGTCCTAAAAACAGAGACATCATTTTAACTGCACTCTGGCAGAATCCTCTGCAAAGGTAAAGCAACTTTTACAGCAGTGGTCTTTAACCTTTTAACAGTATTGCATGGAGAAAGCTTTACAGACTAGATGTCTGTAACTCAGAAAGCTGTGATGATCAAAGAATAGCTCTGTTCTTGACTTAAAACAGTGAATAATGTCTTGTCCAATAAAGGCATGTTCCGGTAATTCCTCAAAATACATTCTTACCATTCAGTAGTATGCAACCAAAAGGGATGATTATTCCCAAGAATATTCCTTCTTTTACCACTGACAAAATTTATCATGCCTTTCCAATTTCCAGATGCTAATTTAGCATGCTTTAACTTGACTTGAATTACCTCAAGTTCCCCCAAAAGTTTCTATCCACATCAGAGAAATATGCTACAGGCACAACCTTATTCTGGTACCAATCCAAAGCTTGTGGTATTTTTACAGAAAGGTGGCTTTTTCAAAGCAGTAACTGCTTTTGTCACCTACAGCTGCCATCCCAATGGCATATTTCAATTAACAGTCATAGAATAGAATCATAGAATAGTTAGAGTTGGAAAGGACCTTAAGATCATCCAGTTCCAACCCCCCTGCCATGGGCAGGGACACCTCCCACTAAACCATGTCACCCAAGGCTTCGTCCAATTTGGCCTTGAACACCGCCAGGGATGGAGCATTCACAACCTCCCTGGGCAACCCATTCCAGTGCCTCACCACCCAAATACTGTTTTTTAATATGGAACATGACAGCATTTCCTCAATGTGTACAGCTATTAAACCACTGTATTTCATCTAACGTGCAAGTCATGACATGCCTGATGCAGATATCCTTGTATGCAAGAGGGAGCTTGTGTTTCTCATTTTTGTTCTGCTGCAGGTTACAACAGGGGAACGTACCATCAACCGCAGATACTGCCACTTCTCAGAAACTTCACCACAGTTCCCACATTTCAGCTGAAAAATGAATCAGACAATTTAAAGCTGTCAATAATCAGGGATTAAAAGCCTGAAGCAGATGATGTGAGCCCTCCAGATTCACAATCCCTGCTTTTTCCCAGCTGAGAGGAGCCAGAGGCAGCGATCAGTGTCTGTCTATCCCGACAGGCCCATGAACTGACTCAACCTGGCAGGTATGCCCATTGCAGAGGGTCTACCCTTTGGTGGAAAACACATTACAAAGGACGGCCACGAAATGAAAGCTGGGAGTAACATGTCTTGCCATTCACGTGGGTTACCTGCCAATGGATTACCAATGACGGCACTGAGCAACATTTAAACTTCAGACTTTTCAGTACTCGAGAGTAATGGATAACGTCACACACGTACTAAATGAACAACTTGGTCTACTAGGTGTCCCCGCCCATGGCAGGGGGTTAGAACTAGATGAGCTTTAAGGTCTCTTCCAACACAAACCACACTATGCTATCTATACACTTAGTCCATCACATTCGTTGCTCCTGCAGCAGCCTGCTTGCGCTGTGAGGCAACAACCACATCACTCTTTAAGCTGAGTGCTGTGATCCCCCACCACAGGCCTCCAGCCCATGGCCCCGCTGGACACTCCCAGCACTCCTCACACCGCGGATGGTGCCTCCCCGCTCCCGAAGGCCGGGCACCGCCGCCCCCCGCACCTTGAGGTACCATCGGAAGTCCTCCCCCTCTGCCCGCAGCCGGGTGATGTTCTCCAGCGTGGCGCGCAGCTGCAGCCCGATCCTCTGCAAGGCAAGAGGCAGGGAGAGACCCCGTCAGCCCCGCTCCGCTTGGCTTGGCTTGGCTCGGCCCGGCCCGGCCGCGGCTCCTACCTACCCCCATGGCCTCACAGCGAGCCCGACACCGGGCTCACGGGGCCTCCGCACTGTCCGGGCCTGCCCTGAGGGCTCCCCCTCAACCCCGTCCCGCTCTCGCGGGAGCACCTGCGGGTTTCAGAGCTGCTCCTGCGTGTTTGGAGTTGGTTTGGGGTTTTCCCCCCACCTCCACCCCGTTGCGCTTGTGCCCTCAGCCAAGCTGGCGGCCGGCTCACGGTGCTCTCTGCCGGCTGAAGCCGACGGGAAGCCGAAGCTGCCCTCAGTCAAGATGGCGTCCTCCGGCGCGGCCTGGTGCCGGCCCCCGGAGCATCGCCGCGCGGGCCGTACGGCTGGCTTGGGGGGTGAAGGCGGGGCGGTGCTGTGGGGAAGCGGGGCTGGCATGTGGGGAGGGAGCCGTGTCTGCTGCTGGGGGAAGCAGGGGTGCGGTTTGACAGAGCTGCTGCGGGGAGCACCCCGGGATCTCCTACAGGGCTTTACAAACATTGCCGCTTTAAAGCTGGGTCCTCCAAGTCTCTTAATCCAGCACAATGGGTCTGAATGGATGTGTTTCTAAGCAACCCAGCCCCGACTATTCCATGTTTCTGTGAAGATGTCCCTGCTCATTGCAGAAGGGTTGGACTAAATGTGCTCTGAAGGTCCCTTCCAACCCAAACTATTCTATGATCCGTTAGTCTAGAACTTCATTGAATACATTCTTCATTGCTTTTAATGTCCATTTTCATAATTGCAACTTACAAGTGAAGATCCTGGATGATGCCTGGGTGGCCTGTTGCCTATTTCTCTGAAGGTAGATGGGTAATCATAGAACGGGTTGGGTGAAGGAAAACTTAAAGCCCATCTGGTTCCAGGGACACCTTCCACTAGACCAGGTTGTTCCAAGCCCCATCCAGCCAGACCTTGAACACTGCCAGGGATGGGGCAGCCACAGCTTCTTTGGGCAACCTAACTTCTCTAGGCAACCTAATCATAGCGGCAGGTTGTTATAAAATTGACACGTCTTTGCTATAACCAGTTATGCAGAGTCAGGGCTTCAGCTGTTTTCCATGTTTGAGCTCTGGCTAACAGAATATCCTCCTTGGGATAGTAACAAAAGTTTATCTTGACAGCTGGCAGAAGTTTCATTTCACAGAGCCAGGCTTAATTCCATTTTTCTACTGGTGCATAGATAAAGAAGCAAAATACACCTTTGTCTGATGAGTGAATCAACATATCCTGAATGCACCATGACAAAAGAAATGTTATGAACTCAGTTTCTCACCAGAAATTATAAATTAAAAATACAGACCTCACCATTTTATTAAAACACTGACAGTTCGTAAAAAGAAAAAAAAAAAGAAAAAATCTAACATAAAAACTTCAGCCAAAAATATGAGCATCCCTCCCTCCCACCCCCCGTACAGACACTGCAATACAAACTTCAGCTTGATTGATTTAAATTGGCTTAATCTTGAAGTGCAGTCCAATAAGACTGAAGACTAGACACTTCAGGTCCTGGACCAGGTAGTAGAACACTCGCAAGCCTTCTGGATCCCTGCAGTGCACAACGAAGAAAATAAAAGTTAGATTGATGTTTCAAGAGAGCAGTTTATAGAACTGATCTATTAAAAAACAAAACCCAAAACTTACAGGGAAATTTTTCAGAGGTCATTTCAGATAGTAACGATTTGTTGCATTCTACATTGATTGATAAATATTGTGTATTCCAAGTCTGCAAGTCTTAACAAAATGATCATTTTTTATCATGAAAGTAAGCAGCAACATCACTCTGGATTTAAAAACCATGATAACCAATCTTTTCAGCTTAGGTGAAATACAGACGTCTTGCGTCTCCCACCTTGGTATGGACAGGCCAACAACAGTTCACACTCTGAATGCATCTAACGGGTTCCTGCAGTGAGGTTAGCTGCTCTGTGAGTGAAAATACAGCCTGCAGTGCCACCACCGAAAAGCATCTGGTACATTACGCTGGGACACAGAGCACTTGTGATCCCAGGAACTGATTTGTACTTTGACCAATACAAAATACAAGTACCTAGTAAATCAGCAAGTTCTGTTATGAACTGTTACAGTACAAGAACAGCAACATAAAAAAGCAGGGTACATACTTGGATTGATTTACATCGATGAGCGAACCGATTTTTGATGTAGTAAAGGAGATGTGCTCATCGCCGATCACTATTTCAAGCTCCTAAAAATTATAAGAATATACAGATTATAGGAATGATTATATATAAAGATTATAGGAACTACTGCTTTATGGTATTAGTTACAGAAATACATAAGTACTGAGATGATGGCTTTTTCATTTTTATTACAAAGGTCTGGAATGCACCAGATCTGTGACTCTAATAAATAAATAAGGTTAAAGAGAATAAATTAAAATAAATAGTATAAATTAAATAAACCCTATCAAAACTGCTGTTTAGGAATGGCTTGGGTTTTAAAATAGCTTTTGTTTCCCTCTTGGCTAGAAACAATACTGACTTGAGGATGAAATTCCACTATACTTCTAATGAGCCAACATATATAAATTAAAGCAGCAATTACTACACCACCACACACTGACCTGTCGACCAACTCTGTCAGGAGGAGGCCACAGAGCATCATCTTCTTTTGTGATCTCGCTGTCGTCGATTATTCTCTTCAGCTCCTCCATCACGCTCTTATGCACGTAAGCCTGAAACAACATCCCAACATGGAAAACCAACCCAGGCGCTGTCCTGGCTGCTCCACTCACGCAAACCTGGCAGCGTTTAAGGCCAGGCTGGATGTGGCTTGGAGCAAGCTGCTCTAGTGGAAGGTGTCCCTGCCCGTGGCAGGGGTTGGAACTGGATGAGCTTTAAGCTCCCTTCAACCCAAACCATTCTGTGATGCTGACAGCACCACACAAGTGCCTCGCGTTACCGACTGCCCACAAAACACCCGCTCTAGGCCCGGCCGAGGCGCGCACCCCCTCTCCCGCACCCCACGTCTCTTCCCCAGCGGCGGCCGCCTCTCCTCACCTCCTTTCGGATCATGACATCGTTCTTGTAGTTGCTGTTGTTGGCGTAGCGCAGCTTCCCTGCCGAACACAGTGCGGACATTAATGCAGCGCCAGGCGGGCACCGGCCGGGCCCGGCCCAGCGTCCTCCCGGCAGCGGGAAGACCTGCCCCTCCGCCCCGCCCCGCTCCCTCCCTCCCGGTGCCTCCCGCCGCTCACCGTCGGGCCGGAACTCAAACTCAAGGAACTCATGGCCGAACTTGCCCTTGTGCCCCACGTAGTACCGCAGGTAGAAATCGCTCGCCATGGTCCCGCCACCGCACCGGCATGCACCGCGCCGGCGCGCGGCAAGCGCGTCACGGCGGGCGGGGCGGTGGGACGTGTCTACAGCGCCGACCGCAGCGGCAGCGGGGTTGTGTTCGCCCCCTGGCGGTCGCCGGTAGCAACAGCCGTGCCCGGGTCCCTTGCCCTGTCGGCGGGCGGTGGGAGGAGGACTGGGCCTCCACCGGGACGGCCCGGGCATGGCCGGGTCCCCAGCGACACGAAGCGGTGCAGGTGAGGGGCGCCATCTCACACACACACACTCCTACGCTGCCCACCGTCACCAGGGCAAAGCCTTGGGCAGGTGGCTCCATGGGGTACTTGCTGCAAAGCTGTTTTCTTGTCGTTAATATTTGAGGTGTTTGACAGGAAAAAGCGAGCCTGGTGCTTGGTTATCACCTTTTCCGTGTGGTGGCGATGGCTTGGGTACCATCGCTGAAATAGAACAGGCCGAAGTCCCCTCAAGTGTTGGTGTGTCTGTCAGGACCACACCGTTTGGTCCGAGCTGTTCCTTGGCTTGGTTTTGTGCCCATGCAGCTAGTGCACTCCTGAGCTTGCTTCTCACTGGTACTAGTTTGTTGAGTTACCTTCATCAGCAGGGGCCGGAAGGGTGAGAGAAAACGAGCTGGTGGTAATATCTGCTTTTTTTGCTCTTTGGGGAGCTGCTGAGAGAAAGGAAATAGCTGGAGACATGCCCTGTTGTAATTGCTCCCTACTGAAACACTTGGAATAGGGTATCTCTTATGCTGATTGCTAGAAGGAACACTTTATTGAGAGAACAGGGAGGACACTTAGTGCTGTGGTAGTGTTGAAAATGGGTTTTACACTGATGAATTTGATTTCATTCAGGTGGTGCTGTGTCGCATCCCAGGTGTAGGCGGTTAGTGCAGCACTGATGAAGCTCACTGTGTGCTTTAGAGTTACAGCAAGGTTAAGTCTGGCAATATTTACTGTTACAGTGGAAATAGCTGAACTGCTTCCAGTTGTAATCTGTCCATGGCAATAATAATGTCTTTTGTATGGCATTGTGTAAATAATGAAATAAGCCTTCTTATCTCAGGTAATTCTGCATGGAGGGAAGCCCTAGGTGTCCATGTCAGGACATAATGCATACATAAACTGACTAAATCCCCTATTGATAGGTCAGATTTGGTTGCAATTTGTTTTTCAGCAGCACTGTATGTTTTGTGATCTAGTTTCCTCTTCTGGCTATGTAGGAGCTCTGAGCTTTCACTAGGACAGTCAAAACGTGTTGAGCTTGGTGATTCATTTTTTTAATATAAATCCTTGCAGTGAGAGGCAAAACAGTAATTTTCTGGAAGAACAGGAATGTTTAAATGTAGGCGCTTATAAATCAGGGTTAAATAGCTACTTTGGATATATTTTAGGACTTCATTGAGTTAAAATAATGGAGGAAAAAATTCATTTTTGTCTTGTTTCTCTTGAAATTACTTTTTGCTTGGACCTAAGGACACTATTCACTGGGCACACGCAGAGAACAATTTATTACAGACTCACCGAGAGTGAGAGAAGAAAATAAAGACAGGTAGAGGGAGGTGAAATATTTAAAGCTCACCCTTGAACAGATAATGGACTGCTGGTGCCATTTACCATGTGGTAGTAGGTCAAGCTCCTTCTCTGCTGCCTATGTAAGACAGCTTTTCTTACATTCTGTTCGCAAGGGAATTGGAGGATATTGAGGGACAATGATTAGTAGTCTGGAGAAATCTATTTATGAATAAAGATTGAAAACTAAATATGTCCAACTCAGCTAAATGATGGAGTAGAGCATATAAGACTAATAATAACGGCAGTACTCACTGCATTTGTGTCCTGGGTTCAGCAGTAGCAGTCATGTTTCTCCTTCTTGGTAGCTGGTGCAGTGCTGTGTTTTGACTTTCAGCTCGGGAACAGAGCTGATAACAATGATGTTTTGGTTTGGCCAAGGACTTTGTGAGCCTCATGCTCTGCCAGGGAGGAGGGGAAGCCAGGAGGAAGCAGAGACAGGACACCTGACCCAAACTGACCAACTATTCCATACCACAGCACGGCATGCCCAGGATGTAACTGGGAGTTAGCCGGAAGGGCTGGGAGTCTGCAGGGTTGGAGGAGGTATCGGTCAGAGCTTGGTCGGGCTGAGGGGGGCTAGTTATCGGTTGGCTGGTGGTGAGATGATGTATTCTCTTCCCTTGTTATTTCCTTTATCATTATTATCATTGGTGGTAGCAGTAGTGATTTGTGTTATACCTTAGTTACTAAACTGTTCTTATCTCAACCCGTGGGAGTTGCATTCTTTTCGATTCTCCTCTCCGTCCCTCTGGGAGCAGGGGGAGGGCAAGAAAGGGGGGGAAGTGAGCGAACGAATTACCTGACTGGGTTTAAACCACGACAATTTGTGATGCTTGAATCTACACAGTTGCATTCCACATTCTTTATGAATTTCTATTCTATAAAATACCTGTACATTGACTTTTCAGTAGGAGGGTCCTACTGTACAGAAACAGCTAACCACTTGCTTTCTTAACATTTACAGGTAGTGCAAAGAAATGAAAACATGAGCCTAAAAACCATAATGTTTATACCAGAATGAAGGATTTTTAGTGGAACTATTACCCTGTTTATTATATGAACTTGGTTGTTCAATCTGAAGGCAATACCGAATATAAGCTTTGCATGTTCCTCTTAAGTACTGTCTGCTTTGACTTCAAGTTCAGAGTTTTGGTTTTTTTTTTTTTTTGTGAGAGAATGACTCTATTGTAATTATCTAAATTGTTTTAGAAGCCCTTTCAGGAATATCAGTGCTTAATGCATCGTTGTTTCAATTACTGTGTTGGAAGGAAGAGCAAAGTGGAGTATGAGTTACTCTGAAAGCCTACATCTAGGAGGTGTCAACCGTTTCCGAGTTCTATATAGTAATTCTAACATGTTTTACAGAGAATGCATATTATAGGTGAGATAAAAATGTTTTTTTACTTTGTGTGCATTAGGTTTTTTTGTCTTCTTAAAAGAAATGTCATGTTTGATAGCATTACAATGGGTAGTGTATTGCTTCCACAGTGCTGTTTGGGTTATCTTGACGCATGTATATTCAAACGGCATGCCATGCTTGAGTGCACTGGCTTGAGGCTGTGTGAAAGACAGAAAAGTGTGGGCTGTAGTTATCTTCCTTCTGCTTAAAAGCATATACAAACAGTAATTGCTCTGTCTCTGAAGAAAATAGCTGTATAAATACACATTTTTAGCATTGTTATTTTACATATGATAGGACTGTAACGTAACAATGTGCATATCAAAATCGGATACTGATACTGCTTTATAAGGTTTTTTACTTCTTCTTGTTCTAAGAAGAGCAAAATTCACATTATTTTGTCTTATGACCTGTGGGGAGCAGGTATCTCTGGGACTTGGCAAAATGGTAGAAATCAGATAACCATGCTCTGAATATCCCTATTTGTTGTTTGTTAGTAAACGCTGGCAGAAAGCTCTTAATAAATCAACCTACTTTGGATCCCTAATTTAACTTAGTTCTGAGGTTGCAAGATTTAGGACTTGTTTGTATTTTTCTGAAAAGCTGCTTCTGGTGTTCCAGTAGTTGCATTTCTGCTGGTTTCTTCACAAGAAACATTGAACACCTTGGAGAACTGGGTGACAGAACTGTTTTCATAGATCCCAAGTAAGTCAGGTTCTTTTCTGATACTTTCCATGCCTGTAACTGTGTTCTAAATATGCAGAACTTTATGCAATTGCTTTTCCTTGTATCTACAGAGGCTTTAATTCTTACTGATTCCCTTATCAAATAAACTACTTTTGCAGACTAAATTAAGACAATATACTATTTGGAAGTTAATAAATTCATAAAATGTTTCTTTAAAATGTATTTGATAGCATTTAATGCGTTCCATGCTGCAGATCTTGACTTTGCATGTCGATCACTGTTACACCTGTGTGACTTCTTTAATTGCTGGGAAGAGCAATTCTAGTTTTGCAGACTGTTAATTCCTATGTCTCTGCATTGTGTGAAAAGTAATTAGTAGGCACATATAGCTGAGTCAGCAGTCTGGTGTGGCTGTTAGAGACAGATTGACAGTGGGTTTCTCTGTTCAGACCATATGCTATTTAGAAAAGACATTCCGGTTTGTACCTTGATTTTGTGATATGGATAAGTTTTAGCTACTTGGTTAAAAAATACAGCTCTGGAGGAAGTAACATCTGCTGTTTCGGTGCCAGGTAAAATAACTTTATTACTCTCTGAGGTGAGGTTTTCCCTGCTGTTGCCAGCTCTTGACTGAAAGACATTCTTTGCCAAGGCACATCCTTGCTTACAAGACAATACTGGCTGAAGATGACTAAGTAAATAAAAATGTGGTGGACTGACATCTGTATTAGAAGAAAAGAGTCTTAAGCCCAGCATAGGCTCAGATGTGTGGGTGAGAGTCTGAAATGGAGAAAGATTAATGGAAATTAATAGCAAACAGGACTGGAAGGGACTGTCATAGTTGCCATGTTCGTCTGCTGCACTCAAACAAGATCAGCTCTCTCATGTGAATCTTTTTGTGGATTTTAACGAAGCTTTTGACTTGGATTGGTTTTAATTTGCTGCTTTTTCTTTTTTTTTTTTTTTTTTTGTGGCAAATGCAAGTTTATAGAATCATAGAATAGTTAGGGTTGGAAAGGACCTTAAGATCATCTAGTTCCAACCCCCTGCCATGGGCAGGGACACCCTACGCTAAATCATATCACCCAAGGCCTCGTCCAACCTGGTCTTGAACACTGCCAGGGATGGAGCATTCACAACCTCCTTGGGCAACCTATTCCAGTGCCTCACCACCCTAACAGGAAAGAATTTCCTTCTTATATCCAATCTAAACTTCCACTGTTTAAGTTTTAACCCGTTCCCCCTTGTCCTGAACTAACAGTTCCCCCTTGTCCAGTAACTACAGTTACTACTACTTCTCCCTAATGAAGAGTCCCTCCCCAGCATCCCTATAGGCCCCCTTCAGATACTGGAAGGCTGCTATGAGGTCTCCACGCAGCCTTCTCTTCTCCAGGCTGAACA